GCTAGGAAATATTTCTCACTCATGCACCCCTATGATCTCAGCTACTTTTGTACATAAAGCATGCGGAAGGCAATAGTAATTCATCAGCATCCAGTTCCTCCTGCATGTATTTCTCACTCACTCTCTTGCTAGCTCAAGTCCCTGAAATGTTTTATGAGCTTTATGAAATTCAGTGTTAGACTGGATCGAAAGAACCTGGATCCTCAGGGCAATGAAAAAGGCATTCCCAGGAAAGCAATGGAGAAACAGATCTGAAAATGTTGCATCTCACGACTATGCTAGGCAAAGCCATGGTTGACTTGATTAAGTGCTGGCAAGTCTTGGCCCAAGTGGAGAGCTGGACTAGAGGGAACCTCCAGCAGCCCCTTTAAACCAATGTTTTTGTGATTCTATGGCTCTGGCTGCAGGAAGGAGGAGAGAAGAGTCCAGGGCTTCAGTGGGACTGAAAATCATTGGTAACTTCTCCACTCTGTGCACTGGGGCACATAAGGGACATGTCTAGTGTGATTAGATCACATAGGAAGGGAACAGTGTTCAGATTAGCTGCAAATGGGAATGCTGCTTTCCAGCAGGACTCCTCAAAGCCTGACTTTCTGCTAGGTACATTCCATCATCCCCAGCACAGTATCATTGTCTCTCCTGCTCTGTGACCTTGTGGTGGCAGACAGATCAGACTAAGCAGCAGGGCTCAGGAGCAAGAAAGAAGCCCCTAAACTTGTGCTAAAACCTGCATGAGATCTGAAATATGACCCAGGTTGGTCTTGCCTTGTTACCACAGCATATCAAGCCAAAGTCTGTAGGTGAATTTGTTTAACATCACTAAGTAAAAGCAGCAAGGCTTTGTAGCTTGGAGTTTGCTAGAGCTTTATGCTAGGCTAACGCTTTTGTTGTCTTTCTGTAAAGACCATATGCTTTAATGAGAAGCAAAGACAGTGTCAGTTTTGGAGGTGAATCCTCCTCCCCATGGATGAGCAGCAGAAAGCACTGCTGGCACCCGCTTATGTACAGAGTGGTGCAGTGGGAGAAAAATACAGTGTGTAGCACTAGGCTCTTCTGAGGCTTGTTACGAGTGTTTGGCTTAAACACTCACACCCTTGGCCACTGGTTTCTGCCCCTGTACTGGTAGAAATTTTCCTCAGCCACATTGTGAGCTAGATCAGCTAGATCAGTAAAATGATGCAGCTGAAAAATACTCCCTTCCTAATTCTCTGTTGTTGATAGGTTAATTTTCAGTCAGATCCAATTTCCCTAGGGTAGGTCAGAAGTAAGCAGGGCAGCTGAGGCACAGTTTGTGTGCATGGAGCAAAGAAAGCTTTCAACCTTCTCCCTCACGCTGCCCAGCTGGGGAGGGACATGAAAAAGACCGAGATCAGAAGGCCCTTGAAGAGGACCAGAAGAACTATCACTTCAACGACGGGCAGAAGGAAAGCCAGAGCCCCCAGCCAAATGCTTTAGGCTGGCAGATCTGGTTCCTCCCTATATCTTGGGTCTCCATCAAAAAGGGATCAGAACCATTTTCTCAGTAATCCCATCAGGATGTGCTTAGGCACAGGCGCTGGAGAAGTGTTTATTTTCATTTCACACAGTGTAGGAGGAGCGGTGCTCACCACTGTAACCGCCAGCAGGAAGGGATCTGTCACCTAGGTCAGAGCAGCTGAGCAACTGCTACTGACTGTCAGGAGTAACGGACAACCTTTAACCCTGCTGCTTTAGTGAGCAATGCTTCTGCATCACTGTGCAGGCACTGTGGAGTTGCAAGTTCGTACCACTCCAAATAAGCTTCCCTCTGCTCCCAAGAACACAGACCTCTTTTCCCACTGTCCCATGCAAGTCATGAGAAGGCTCTCACTGCAGCACAGTGGAGACTAGTGAGTACTTAAGTTTGAAAAACCTTGGAGACAGAGATATGCATTCTTGGTGATAAACTAGGGCAAAAGTCTTCAGTGTAGGCAGATTTTACTCAAAGAGGAAGTTAGATAAACCAAATATGAACTCAAGTCTGCTTCTGCCCCACAAAGTGACTGAAGACGAACCCTTATTCAGCAAGCCTGACCTTTTGGCATAGCTATGGTAAAACTTGCCTTTCTGTCAGATTTCTGAAGCTATTTAGACACCCCAATAATCCCACCTGCTCTGGACTCCTACCAGCCCTACAGAGCAATGCAGCTGCGAGAGATGTGAGGGTCCGCTCTCAGCAGGGCGTCAACAGCATGAACTAATGAGTACATGCCTGAAGTGGGGCAGATGTCTGTGAGGAAGGTTTTTATTGCTGGTTTTGACTGGATAGATAGAAACATGCTTTTGCTTGGCTCAGTCTTAAATTGATCTGTACTTAGAGAAATGCAGTGCTGTACAGCGCTGCAAAGGAAAAGTCAAACCAAAGGTAATTAGTATGGTGATTAACAGCACTGATACAAATTATCTTTATAAACCGTAAAAGCAGATCTTTCCTGAACTCATGACACCAAAGGGTCTGGGGAGAGTGAACTTATTTATACAGGCAATAGTGCTTGGGAACATGAGGCTGAAGAGTAGCCTTGACAACAAACCAACGGAAATTGGATCTTCCTGCTTTCACATGTTCTTGAACTGGGAACACATGGCAAGTGCTGAGAGGCTCCCTCCCCATGCACAGAAGGCAGCTTGAAGCCCCTTGGGCTACTGTGAGAGGGGAAACACCCAAGCAGCACGCTGTTGCAGGAGGTGCAAGATCAGCATGGCAGTGTCAGCCTCAGAGGGGTTTGGCCTGAGCTGACCCAGCTGGAAGGGAAACAGCCACCGGATGCGATGACCTTTCCAGAAGGTGCAAGGGAGGAGGGAAAGCCAGGTGCTGCCTCCCATCCCTCCAGCAAGCACATCCCTCTGTGCCACAGGGGCTGGAGGGTCTGCAGAGGCCACGGGGGATTTACCACAGAACTGACAGGGAGATGCCCCTCAGTCTGGACACTCTGCCGTGCTTTGGTGGCTTCCAACACGGAAACAATCGTTCCCCCCCCCCCTTTTTTTCCCCTCC